AACCAAGAGCATGGCCTCATGTTTACAATTACTATAAAAGCAGTGAATGACAGATGTTCAGAAAAAAAAAAAAAAAAAAACTATCAATCAGTTACCTTCTCCTGGGGCATAGGCAGGTCACAATGGAGTTTTCCTATGAGGATTTTACCCCATTACACACTAGACTATTTATACCTTTCCACATTATCTGACCATTCAGTCAACATTAAGCCTTGTGTCTTACATAACCCATACAATATGCATATGCAAGCTTCATTTTACATAACTTTAGCTGTCCATGCTATTTTTATGTCATCATGCCTCTTTTCTAATTTGTTTTTGTATGTCAATCATACCACTCTATGTAGAAATTTTCCTGATTTTTCTCTAATACAGGGACTTCTTGTCAGTAGCTTTTATGTATCCTACTGTACTGATTAACTTCCTCTTATCTGTGCCTAGGCTTGTCAGAATTCCGTTTTTATTTTTTTCTAATTGTAATGATTAATGTCGATTTTGATTTTTAAGATGCTTTTGTTTGTATTGATTTTTATTTCTACTGTTGTTGGAAATGAAGTTGGCAGTAGGGTTGGGGTAGAGTTAGGGCAGCACCAATAGCAGGTCTGCAGAGAGTTTCTTGCACATCTGAGTGGCCCAAGACACTAGGGTGCAAGGGGTGGGGGAGGCTGCGGTCCTGGCCCTGCAGAACAGAGACCCCTGGCCAGAACTGCAAGGAAAATGTTGAGTCCCTAGGTGTGGGGTGCTGCTGAAGAGTACCTGCTCAGAGATGACTCTCACATGTCTGGCTGGTGAGTGAGGGAGCAGTCCCATGGTAGCGGAGATGCAGAAGCCTCCCTGCATAGACACAGGGCCAGTGACACCTGATTCCTGCTGGCCCAAGGTATAAGGAAGGCAGTGGTACTGGAGGTGCAGAGCAGAGACCCCAGTAAGGACTGCAAGGAGTTGGAGAACAAGGCCCCAGCCACAGGGGAGGTCACCCCACTGGTGAATGGCTCATGCCTGGAGACTGGGCAACCTTAACTCTGTGTTAACTAACTTTTTTTGCTATTTAATTTGTAAGCCATTCCTCATGTCCACTTAATATAGGGTAGCTCTCACTGAAACATACTTACAATATATCCTCAGTGGCTACTGACAACTCCAAGGGGGTAGTTAATTGTGCACCATAATTCGGTATGTCCTGGTTTTCAGAGCCTTGCAGCTCAGTGGCTTTGGTGTTCTGTAAAGGCATGAGGCACTGTCGGTCAGGGCCGGCTCCAGGGTTTTGGCCGCCCCAAGCAGCCAAACAAAACAAAACAAAACAAAAAGCCGGCGGCACTTCAGCGGGAGGTCCTTCGCTCCGAGCAGGAGTGAGGGACCGTCTGCCAAATTGCTGGACATGCCGCCCCTCTCCGAAGTGGCCGCCCCAAGCACCTGCTTGGTAAGCTGGTGCCTGGAGCCGGGTCTGCTGTCAGTCACTCTGAACGCTGTGTTAACAAAGATTTGGGACAGTGAATAACCATGTGGCAAGTTATTGTAACATGAATGGTAAAAGGCAATGATGCCTTAGCAGCTGAATTCCAGTGAATGTTTGTCTTTTTTGGGAGTGTCCAGTAAGATTGTGTGATGTGTCTGTGGCCTTCCAGAAACTAAACTGCAAGCATAAGGGACAGAAGCTTCTTTTTTTCCTAATTTCTGATACCTCTGTGTTTTTGCATATGTGAATCTTGAAATTAAGATATCTAAAAAACTGAGAGCATGTCATGCTCTCTCCCTTCCCCTGCCCCCCAAAACACAACATTAAAAAGCCTTAATAAAGTGGTGTAAAAACCCTTAATTTTTAAAGTATCAATTAAAAGTGACAAAACATAAACAAACAAAACCAACCAACCGTCCCCACCCCACACCTCTTGCCTTGCAGACAAGGGGTTAGTGGAAATGGATATATACAGGTTGATGAGCTATTCTTGTGGGTGGAGAGGAGATGGCATGAGGGTAAGTGACTTTAGGGTTTCCCTGAGCATTTAGAGGTGCCCCACAAGGATGTGTCCAAGATAAAAGTGATGCCAGAGCCTCTGCATCAAATGGTCAATATTTGAAGGGATTCCCCAGACCTAGTGCCGTGACCCACTGGGGCGCTTTTGGCAGTAGTAGTATGGGGAGTCAGAGCATTGATACCTTGGTGCAAAGGCATTCTTATTTTTTAATCAGTTCTCCTGGTGTAATCCTCTAAACAGCGTATTTGTTGTTTCTCTGTAACTGTTTTTCTGCCCTGACTTTTTAGAGTGTAGGCTGCAGGGGAGGGAACATTTTTTATTCTATGCCATGGACCCATACACAGTTTTGTCAGCAAAAGACAGCTTTTTTCAACAAAACAGTGGAGGTGTACACACTATAACGCTCCTCCTTCCGACAAAACTTTCCTGCTTCACTGACAAAATAAAACCACCTTGACAAGACGCGTAGAGCTTTATGCAGCAAAGTTAGATCGACAACGTGTCAGTGTCACTGTAACTGGCCTCCGGGAGGTATCCCACAATGCCCACCGTGACCGCTCAGCTCAACTGTTTTGGACTCCACTGCCCTGCATCCAGCTACACAGGCATGCACCCCTGCCCTTTCAAAGCCTCGGGAAGTTTTGAAACTGCTCAGCATGGAGAACTTGCATAGCTACTGCCCAACTGAGCATGCCGGCTCGGTGGCAGCAAATGCGCTTCTGCCTGGACTACAGAGAGCAGGTCTCCTTGGTCTGTGAGGAGAGGAGACTGTGGGAGAACTCGGAGGGAATCACGGAATCAAAACATTAATGCGGAATCCTGCTCTCTCCAGCACTAGGACCACAGTGGCAGGCGGGGGGGCTGCTGTGAGGAGGGAGGGGAAGAGACTCGTGCTGTGCTGTGCAGAGCCAGGGAGTGAGTTGGGGGCTGATGTTGGGGTGTTCCCGCTGGTGTACTGGTCTCCGCTGAGCTGGGATAGAGGGACAGGGGGGCACCAGCTGTCTGTGCACCAGCTTCTGCCTCAGGATTGTTTACTTCCGGCTGCTGCCTGAACTTAAAGAGACAGCTTGCCCACACACAGCCTTTTAAAGACGAAGATTCCCTTGTAGTTGTAATTTTATTTCCAAGGGTACAGTTTTAATGTATTGGTTCTTCTTTAATTCATTATTAGTGTATCCAATGGGAAGCCCTACTGAATAAAAATACCCTGCTTCCCCTTCACCCAGTTGTAAAATCAAATGATTCGGTGGCAATTATTGTGAAAAACAAAACTTTTTTTAACTCTAAAAAAAACATCTCAAAACCCTGCGCGGGCAGAAAAGTCCTTCCCGAGCGGGCTCCTTAATGCACCAATCACAGAGTACCTCTGGTGTATAAACAACGGGCGCCAGCTGCCCCTCCCCCCAATGAGTTATAGAACAATTCTGCTAGTACAGTATGTCGGAAACAGCGCTTATTGCTGCTCCGGCTGTTTCTTATCTTTGAGCTAAATGTCTCCGCTGAAAAGCTGAAGGCGGCGGCAGGAGGCTCCAAAACCTGCAAGTCCTCGGGTCCCAGCTGATCACCAAGGCAATGTCTGCTTCTAAGCGCAAAGGGCTCTGTGACCGCTCTTAGCTGGCCTGCCGGAGGGTACGATGTGGGGGAAAGCAATAGTCGCATCAAGAGTCTGGTGAGCGAGGGCATCTTTTGGTTCAGACCCAAGCACCCGGGCCTCTCATTTCTTCAAAATCAGCAGGAAGTCGGCAGAGACCTAGGAAAAGACGCGCGGGGGAGGGGCACAAAAAAACCCCAACCCCGAAAAAAAACAAATGCAGAGCCTACGAAACCAGCTGTGAAGCAGCCCCATAAGGCGGAGATCGCGAAAAGGAGCTCGGGGAAAAAAAAAAAAAAAAAAAAAAAAAGAGCCAAGAAAGCAGCCAAGAGCCCGGAAAGGGTTAAAACTACCCAGGCTAAGAAGTCAAAGCGTTGAAGCCCAAGGCTGCCAATCCGAAGCTAAGGAAAGATGAAGGCAAAGAAGGCGGCGCCCAGGAAAAAATGAAATTAATGAAGATTCTTGTCATTCAAAGAAACCCAACGCCATCCACTCCTTCCCCACAATAGCTGACAAGGTTCGTTTAACAACCACCTCACGGTGCTTTTCATGGAAGGGAGAAATTCCCTTTTCGATCTTGCCCCTTAAAATCACAGGAAAGGGACCATAAAACATTTTTGTGGGCTCGTTGGGAGTGAACATGAAGCAGCCCCCGGGAAATGGGGTTTATTTGGGTCATTCGCGCCACAGAGCGGACGCCCTTGCTAGAAAGCAAACGAATGGGAACACCTTTACAGATCAATGGTAGCTTTCATTTTCTTCGGGTAGAGGATTCGATGTACTAAGAAAATCACTTAGAAGATTCAGTACTAGTGTTAGAGTCGAGCGTCCCCCTATACATTGTTAGGGGAGTGAGTTACTGTAACTCCACGCTTCTTGTGTGAGGGAGAAGAGTTGTGTGCGCCTGAGAGAATATAGCTTCGGCCACCAGGTGGGGGTAAGGAGAAATTTAGTGATCATCTATAGACAAGAATCCCTTTTCTAGTCTACGGGCGGGAGCAGGGTTAAGTTTGAAAAGCCTGCTCCGCTGTGCAAGCAATTGACCCTTACCAATCCGCACAGCTCGATCTTTTAAGGGGAAAAAGGCAACATTGTATAAACGCTGCTTTGCTATCCAGGCGAGGAAATAATTTAACAGAAAATTGTACTTAACACCAGATACCTCCCTCTCAGGATATTTTAGTTGGTTTCCAGTCAGATTAGAAACACTCCCTGCCCCCCCCAGTACAAATGACCTATAAAGAAAGGTATGGGATGCCCCATTTTTCATATTTTCTAACCCACAACCAAACCTTAGTGCTGCTGGCTATTTTCTATTAACATATCGTTTACTGCTAAGAAAGTCAGCAATAACACAGCTTTTTTTTGATTTTGTGGGTGGCTCTGAAAAGAGCCTTTGGGTTGTTTCTTTTTTTTTTTTAGTAAAGAGTCTTGTTCAGGTTTTACTTGCTCTTGGCCTTGTGGCTCTCAGTTTTCTTAGGCAGCAGCACGGCCTGGATGTTGGGCAGGACACCACCTTGAGCGATGGTGACTTTCCCCAACAGCTTGTTGAGCTCCTCGTCGTTACGGATGGCGAGCTGCAGGTGACGGGGAATGATCCTGGTTTTCTTATTATCCCGAGCAGCGTTGCCAGCCAGCTCCAGAATCTCAGCGGTCAGATACTCCAGCACCGCGGCCATATAGACCGGGGCTCCAGCCCCCACCCGCTCAGCGTAATTGCCTTTGCGGAGCAGGCGGTGCACACGGCCCACCGGGAACTGCAGCCCAGCCCGCGAGGAACGAGACTTTGCCTTAGCCCGCACCTTACCGCCCTGCTTTCCTCGGCCTGACATGATTGATGATCGCTTCAAACAGCACTCACGGCAACAAAGGTGAAATAGAAGTAAGAATGATCTCACTAGAGCCCACCCTACCTTTATATCCGTTCTATTTGAAGAGGTAAACGCTTTTTGATAGGCTGAAGTGGCGTTAGTATCTAAACAGCCAATGGAGACGCGGATCCAACTCTGGCCAATAGTGCGATTCGATGTGCTGGTGGAGAAGTCTCTTGTGCGTCCGCCCTATAGTAAATCATCGAGGACAGTCGTTTATTTGCATAAGATATCTATAAATACAGCAGTTGGGGCGGTGGTTCGTGTTAGTCAGGCTGAATACCGGTAGGTGTGTAAGTGAGAGACGCACGTAGTAAAGCAGAAGTTGTCAAAAATGCCTGAACCAGCAAAATCTGCTCCCGCTCCTAAGAAAGGATCTAAGAAAGCTCTGACTAAGGTCCAAAAAAAGGGGGATAAGAAACGTAGGAAGAGCAGGAAAGAAAGTTATTCCATCTATGTCTACAAAGTGCTGAAACAAGTTCATCCGGATACTGGCATCTCCTCCAAGGCTATGGGTATAATGAACTCTTTTGTAAATGACATCTTTGAGCGTATTGCTGGGGAAGCGTCTCGCCTGGCACATTATAACAAGCGATCAACCATCACTTCCCGGGAGATCCAGCCAAACACGCGGTGTCTGAGGGCACCAAGGCTGTCACCAAGTACACCAGCTCTAAGTAAATGGTTTACTAGCTGACCATTAAATCTATAACCCAAAGGCTCTTTTAAGAGCCCTCCATCTTTTCAATGAAAGAGCTCTATTGTCATTAACAGCATCATGTGTTCTCCAAACTACCCTACAGAGTATTTTAAAAACAAGAGGCTTAATATGTTGGAAGGAATAGGAATTGTTTTCACTATATATGTGACACTTAAGTATTTTTAAACCACAGTTCCTATTCGACCCCTATAAAAATGCTTTTTACATGTAGGACTATTCTAAAGGTTCATTCTGTCCAGGTCTGGCTTCCTGCAGGAGAACATTAGCCTAGAGAATCGACTATGAAAGACTTTAAAAAGCTCTGATGGAAGATTTTTGGCTAGCAGCTTTTAAGATTCAACAGATAAACGCTGATGCTATTTAAAAGGGAACATCCAAATTATTGACTATATTTTAAAGCCCGCCTTAGTCACAACTGCACACAACTATTCAATCCACTTGGAGAACACTAATCACACCGTTAGATGAAGTGAAGCTCGTTTCAACTAAATGACTTACCCAAACTAAGTTCTAAATGCTCATGTAGTCCTCTTCAATTAAACGCAACACAAATAAAGGGAAAAAATTATAGGCTTGTTACAGCTCCTTTCAGTGTGCATGTAGTGGCTCTTAAAAGAGCCTTTGGGTCGTTTGGAGTAGTTTATTACTAGAAGCTGAAGGGCAGCCTTTAAGCCCTTTCACCACGGATACGCCGGGCTAACTGGATGTCCTTGGGCATGATGGTGACTCTCTTGGCGTGAATAGCACACAGGTTAGTATCTTCAAAGAGCCCCACCAAGTAGGCTTCGCTGGCCTCCTGCAGGGCCATAACAGCCGAGCTCTGGAAACGCAAATCAGTCTTGAAATCTTGGGCGATTTCACGGACCAGGCGCTGGAAGGGCAATTTGCGGATGAGCAGCTCAGTAGATTTCTGATAGCGGCGGATCTCTCGCAAGGCTACGGTACCTGGTCGGTAACGATGAGGTTTTTTCACTCCCCCAGTGGCAGGAGCGCTCTTTCGAGCAGCTTTGGTAGCCAACTGTTTACGGGGCGCTTTGCCACCGGTAGACTTACGGGCGGTCTGCTTAGTTCTAGCCATTTTCAACAACGCACAGTCTTACCCCTTGGAGACAAATGGAAATCACTAGTAACTGCTTTTTCACTGGAGGTATTTATAGGCAAACGCTCCTTTCTGATTGGCTGATCGGAAGGAGCCATATGTCATTGGATATTTTGAAAATTTGAAAAACCCGCTTTTTAATAGAGAAATGGGACATTTCCCGCCTCGCCACCATCCTAGCGCTCACTGTTTTTTGTTTTGTTTTGTTTTGTTTTGAAAAACGGCTTCCGGGGGCGGGAGGACGGACATGTTCTGTGAAATTCACGATTCTTGGACTACATCAGCATAGGTGTTTTTTAAATATCTTCTCTCTCTGAAATATCACTTTACAAAGCCATTCCTTATTTCCGTGCACTTTAAAAAAAAAACGGAGGCTCCATGTCTCACTATTAGTCTTGCAAAATTTCCAGCTTGCAAGACGTCTGCTGTTGCCGAGGGAACTAGCTAGACAGACTGTGATCAAGGACACCAATCTTTCTCCACCTGGAGGATTTCTCCTGCAGAAAGTGCTCCAAACTACCCACCTTGCAGTAAAAAGAGCTGTAATACTGGACTTTAAATCGCTTATTTGCGTATATTGCAAGTTCTATATGAAGTAACATATAATTGGAGCCAAATTAGGCTTTTGTGTGTTCTCCTGAAGCCTTACATTTAGCATTAGCATTTTCATTGTTTCAACGTGACTGTGATTGTTTTTTTTTTCCTGACATGTAATGAAGGAACTATAGAACACGGATTTTCCTATGTTTCTTATAAATCAATGGATATTAACTTATTACTTTAAAAAGAATATTAAGATTAAGTAATAAGTGTACTTTTCTTTCGTTGGGCATTATTAGTATATAATTTGTCCAATAGATTGAAAATCTCTTGGATATTTGTTTTCATTTGTGGCTATTTAGGCGGTAGCACAAATATCCTTCAATTCTGCCCCCTCTCAGACTTAGGGGCACTCTGCCTCCATGAAGGACTGTTTTACTCTCATTCTGTCCTGCCTTAAACCTTAATCAAACCAATACATTCTTAAATGGTAATCCCTTGCAATACTTAAGTTGTAAAAGGCACTAGTTTTTCTGTCTACATTTTCATCCTGATATATCTTTGCTCACAAGAATCAACCTGGCTTAATATGTGGTCTGAAGCAGCAGACAAACAGGATACAAACCAAAAGATATATAAAAAAAGAACAGGAGTACTTGTGGCACCTTAGAGATTAACAAAAGATATCAGTCTCCCTTTCTCCCACTTCCTCTCCCACAATAAATGTTTCAGGCCTTCTACAGACAACAGACTCCTTTACTAAACAAGCTTCATTTATTCCATGAGCACAGTCCATCATGGGACTGAAAGAGGCAGTTTTTCTGTTTAAAAAAATAGTATGTGATTATTACATGAAAAGCCACAGATTTTGTGGGTTCATACGGTTGACTACCCTTAAGCCTGCTGTTGTATATTAGTCTTTCCCTGCATTGTGTTAATATGGCTCTAATCTTGTTTTACAGGTGAAGGAATGTAAGAACTAGTTATAAATTGTGTGGAACAGGCAAAATTACTGACAATACTTTTTAATGATTTGCAAGTGTGATGCTCAACTTTGAGCAGAAATTCCTCTGAAATCCCATGTTTGAAAAAGTTATATGTGGACATTAAGGTCATGTTGTTCCCCATACCTTTCCTACTCAAATAAAAATAGTTTATATTAATGAATAGTTTAGGATGAGCCACATATACTAAATCATAATATTGAAATATGAAGAAAATTGCTGAATGATAGAAAATAAGGGTTACATTTTGTTAGTTTAAGGCTGAGTAATGTTGTTATGCTAATAATTTTATAATAATATAGAATGGGAAATGAAAATCAAATGATAAAAATCGTGATAAATGGGTATTGTTAACTAACATTGGTTGAAGGAAAGCTAATGAATATGTCATATGGAAAGATATAAAAAACTGAATGAATAAGTGCCCAAATCAGAGAATACCCAATTAAATATCCATCATGAAAAGGAGAAGAGCTTCCTGGTATCCAGGAACTCATTAACTTTGGCCCGTAATTGTCCCATATTATCTGTTTATTACTAAGACTGTATAGAATATGAGGGACACTTGAGGACATTATGAATATCAATATTGTAAAATTGTAATGAGTTATGCCAGATAGACCATGTAAAGTATCTGCGAAAATGTTATAATTTGCCAGATATGATCATCTCATTTATCACCTTTGTATTATGAGTTATAGATATGTCTGTCTGTCTGTATTTCAAACTTGTGCTATGCTTCTGGGTGACACCCCCGGTAAATTTGGCATCAGCACTGCCTAGCCTGCTTGATGGCCCATTAAGGACCATCATCTACACAACTGAACCATTGAGAGAAGGCAGATACACCTTATGACTCAGCAAGGCATGCAGGGGCATGCCTACGGACAGAATTCTAAGCCTTTCAAGCCATGTGCTGGGCAGCTTGAAACAAAGGACGCACAGGCCGCATGGCAAAAGACCAGAAAAGGCAGCTGCATCTTCTTCATTCCTGCTTCTTATCTCTGGAGTAACTTTTCTACATAGGAAGCTCTGAACAAAGGACTGAATGACCCATCCGAGCTGTGCATGTATTCCAGAGGGACTTTCAAGCCAGCAAACTCACCAATACTGCTAAGAACCTGAAATATGGACTTTGAATCTTTGTATGTGACTGCTTTACCATTTAACACCTCTCTTCTTGTTCTTTCTTTTTTCTTTATAATAAACCTTTAGTTGTAGACACTAAAGGATTGGCTGACAGCGTGGAATTTTGGTAAGATCCAAACCTATACTGACCTGGTAACGTGGCTGGCCCTTTGGGGTCAGAAGAACATTTTGTATATGTGAGCAGAGTTATTTTAAATAACTTCTCACTGTACTAGACCTAGATGCTGATTGGGAGTCAGTGAACTGGAATGCAATAAGGGGGCTGTGATTTCTTTTTTTGATTCTTGATAACCAGTGTAGGGGATCAGAAGCACAGTTTGTGACTGGTTGGGGAGCTTAACTTCAGTGTTACTCACCAGTCTTGGGAGTATCTGCTCTCCCTTTTGCAGCCTGCCCTGACCTTGGCATTTCCAGTGAGGTTGCCCCCGGCACCGCTGGCTCACAATTACTAACTCATAAATATATTATCAGAAACTATAAATAACAATGATTTTGTCTGCAAATTTATTAATAAAGGTGAAAATTAAGTAAGCCTAAATTAGGTGGAATCCTGCCTCAGCTTCCCATCTTATACAGTGCTTTCATTTAGTTCCACCCTTAATTGTACTAAATCCTCTGATTGGTGACCTCTTAAAACTGTCCAAAATGGTTGAAAGGTGGCAGCATGTTATTTTGTAACAAAGTTGTTGAAAGAAAGAATTAAAGGAGTCTGAAAAACTGTATTTTCTAGGTAACTTGCAATATTCAGTGCCATCCTTCCATCCTCCTCACACATCACCTCATCACTTTAAGGAGTACACCTTACAAATTTCCTAATCAAGTCCCCTATTAGGAGAACCCATATCCCACTATCCAGACAGTATTTCCACCCTTTGCTTTCTGGGGTGTGAGCGATGACACAGCAGCTTGTATTACAGGAAGGCTCATCTATCTTGTGAAAGTTGTCCTTTATCACCCCAGTTTAGCAAGCCTCCACATGCAAATTTCATTTCTGCCAATGAAACCCAGACCTTCTGTCACTAAAACAAACCCAACTCCCCAAAGGGAGATAAGTCCTCTGTTGAAATATTTCTGTCAGCAAAAAGTCAGTGTAGTTATTGCATTACCTGTGCCAGTAAAAAACATTTCCCCAGCTACAGTCCCACTGTGCCTCTGTCAGGACAGGGATTGCTCTCAGCACAATTTTGAACTCCACTGACCAGGGGTCAGAGTGGTAATGGTTATGGGTTTCTTCATTTCATTTCAGACAAACGTAGGGTGACCAGACAGCAAGTGTGAAAAATCGGGATGGGAGTGGAGGGTAATAGGAGCCTATATAAGAAAAAGACCCCAAAATTGGGACTGTCCCTATAAAATCGGGACATCTGGTAACCCTACACAAGTGTAACTCAAGACACAGAAGACCATTACTCCCTTAAATCTGAGCACAAATAACCTGCCAGTGTACATAGATTATATTTTTATATTCTTTATTACAGATTAACACATTTACCTTTGACACACCCCTTCCTTGCCATTTCTATCCTGCACACATGCATCACTTCTCACCTGCTCTGATTCAGTTTTACAGTCAATCCCTTAAAGCTACATTCTTCTGGGCCTTTCCCAAGTTCACCTTTACATTGATGATGCATTGTGAAGCCCTTATTCTCAATCCTTGTTCCCTTTCCCATACCTTTTTATATATAGCTGAAAATATTTTATATAGATCTATAAGATAAAGCTGTGAGTACCTATAATTTATACTGCAATGTAAAGCAAACAGTAGAAGGAAGCTATAAATATAAGCAGTGAAATCTCTCCCTTGTATTATATCTCTCTGCATGTCTTTGTGTGGTGTTGCATGAGGCACTACAGTCTTTTCAATAGATTGTAGTGGTTTTAGAAGGTAAAGGACTTGTTAAGGGGGGAACCAATTTTTAACCCACGTTCAAAGCTACCAGAGCTGTTACTTCCTTATTTTGAAATCTATTTAGATTGACAAAATCAATTCAAATAACTTCTTTCCACCCCAATTTGGAGAAAACCCTATAAAGAAAAATATGTCATTGTATATTTGATTTTATTGCTGACACAATTATAATTTACAATGAAAACAAAAGTTCTCATCTTCCAAGGTTTCTCCAGCCCCAGGATATAGGTTGTTGACTCTTCTTTAACCCACCATTTGTCTCTCCAAGGGAAATTCCAATGGCTGCACAATGAGGTAATTCGGTTCCAGATATTGTGCAAAGGAGAGAGGCTGAGAGTACAGTGTGCAAGGGGAAACTATTGGTGATCTATAGAAAAAAGTCCCATTTCTGATCCTTTGGTGGAAGTGGGATTAAATCCATTAGTTAGTTTGAAAAGCCTGCCAGGATTGGACAGCGACAAAACACACAGCTTTTCTCCTTTTCTCCTTAAAGCAGATTCAACATTACACAGACTTTTCTTTCTCCATTCAGGAGAGAGAGAGAGAGTAGTGTGTAAGGGGGAGGGGTGATATTGAGAAAATTGTTGCTATGCTAAACAGAAACGACCTGATTTTTGTTTGTTTCCAGTCAGATTCGTCGGCCATTAGGAATAATATTTAAAATCTGAGCAAAAATGACCTGGAAAGGAAGGAGATGGGAGAAGAGAGGATAATTTATCATATTGTTGCTTTAGTACACTTGTTAACTGAATTCATTACTCGTTAATATTCTAATACACCCCTATCCCAATGGTACTGATAGATGTTTTAAAAGTAGGGAATGTTACTTTACATTAAGATTTTTTTTTACTAGACTCAGAAAATCTCAGCAAAAGGAAAACTTAAACCACGTTATTTCCCTGCTTTTCCCGGCCCCGTAGTGTACGTCGCACTAACAACTATCTAGAGAAGGAAAAGTACAAAAAAATGCAGCGCTCTCGTCCCCCTCTCATACTATCAACCTTAGGAGAGTTAAATGATTTTCGATAGACTAAAAAGATGTGATTGTCTGATCAGCCAATGATAATGCGGATCTAACTCTGATCAATAGCGAGACAAGACGTGACGGGATGACTTGTCAAGTCCAATAGGAAACGAGGAAAGAGAGGTTCTTTATTTGCATGAGGTTATATAAAAGAGGGGCAGCAGCGAGTCTCACCCATACTGCTTTTTGTAAAAGTGTGTAACGGACAGTTTTAAGGAAGAGTAAGACCACATTTAACAGTCTGAAGATGCCTGAACCTGCGAAATCTGCTCCAGCTGCAAAGAAGGGGTCTAAGAAAGCTGTCACTAAGACTCAGAAGAAAGGAGACAAGAAGCGTAGAAAGACAAGGAAAGAGAGCTATTCCATCTACGTATATAAAGTGCTGAAGCAAGTTCATCCGGATACTGGTATCTCTTCTAAGGCTATGGGTATAATGAATTCTTTTGTAAATGACATCTTTGAGCGTATCGCTGGGGAAGCGTCTCGCCTGGCGCATTACAACAAGCGCTCGACTATAACTTCCCGGGAGATCCAGACCGCTGTGCGCCTGTTACTGCCCGGCGAGCTGGCCAAACATGCTGTGTCTGAGGGTACCAAGGCTGTTACCAAATACACCAGCTCTAAGTAAACATCTGGCTAACTACATCTGTAACCCAAAGGCTCTTTTAAGAGCCAATCATCTTTTCATTCAAAGAGCATAGCATCACTAACAAAGTATCATTTGTATTTTTCAAACTGCATCAAGTCGTTTGTGAAGGGTAAAAAAATCAGGCAGGCATTAAGTCTTGCTTAACTATTTCCAAGTAACTTGTTAGCAGTTTTTCTTCCCAAAATTTGTGCAGAAAAGGGGCCTAGATTCTCTTTACTAATTATAATAAACAAGCACTTGCATTTGCTACAGTCTAGGTGAAAGGATTCTTGTCTCTTTAAAAGTGATTAAAGCCACCCGTTACTGAAGTAGCATCTGTTAGTCTTTAAGGTGCCACCAGACTCCTTGTTGTTTTTGTAGATACAGATTAACACGGCTACCCCCTGATACTTGAAGTAGCATTATGATTAAGTGGTATTCAGGCAACATCTTACCAACACATTAGGTTTATTATGTATAAAATAAGTTTTTAATTGTCTGGGATCTCTGTGGGTTTTCAAACTAATCATTTTTGTCCCTCTCCCCTAATATCTCACTCCTTCCTACCATCTCCCCGTGCCTGAACACTTTTTAGCCCTTGAATCAATCCAGTTGTCAATTTCTTACATCAAGACATTAAAAAGCAAAGTTTTCCTTTTATTTTCAAAGCATTCTTTCCCTATTTAGCCATAAACCTTCATTTGGCCACTGTATAGATTTATGGAATTACAGATAGGTTAGCCATTCTGAAGAAGTTTGTTGAAATGGAATTTTAAACAAAACACACATAGGAACCAGGATCAGATCTGATTACCGTCATAGCCACACAGTTATTATTCTATTACTTTATACTATAGAACCCTTAGGTAGTAATCCTCTAGGATTTCACTTTGATCCATTCTCACCTATTTAGCTGGCAGCGGCACAAAAAGTTTGGTTATGGTATATTATCTAAAATGGTCAGTTCCATTGCCTTTTTACTTTCATGGCTGAGAAGCTAAGACTTTGTGTAGGCTTGAAAAAGCTACAGTACAAACTAAAGACGTAAATGAAGTTTCAGTTAATTGGCAGGAGTTGGGGGTGGCCCTTTTTATCCCCTGGATGAGCTTTAACCTCCAAACCTATAAAGAGTTGGGCTCGATATTTCAGAACATAAACCATTCTCGTGGCTATCAAGGTCTTTCTTTCCCTGGTCTCAGCATAAATAGCATAATCGAGGATCACCCTTAGATGAGACCAGAGATACATTTCACCACTACAGCAAACGCGGTGACAGAAAATCGGTAATACCTGAATATTATTTCGAGGCATTTTTCTGTGATGCTTAAGCCCACTTTTACTATGATCATTTTCTCCTTTACCACGTTCAAACATTTTATTAGACATCTTCAGTAATAATAAAATGTCTGTGGGCTGCTGACTTGCATAGCGCGTCTATGATGAATCCGACCTGATTGAAAACTGAGTTGAGATTTTTGAACGGCTGAAATGATACTCCTACTCCTTAAAGCCAGATATTGAACATACATAGTCTGTTTCTTGGGTCGATTCTTTGGAGACAAGTTATTTTATCATTATAAAACTAAACAATAACTTGATTTTACTCTGTAAATATTGCACCTCATTAGTATAAAACTCCTCTCTTTCACAATCACACTTGAGGTTATAAAGGAGGACATAAGCAGAGTGAACAGATCCTTTATAAGGTGCTGGTGGCCCTCTGTCTGAAAGGAAGAAAAATATAAGGCATTTGTATCGCTTTAAAAGCAGCAAATTAAAACATAAAAGAGAATCAGAACAAAGATTTTTTTTACGCTTTCGACGAATCACGTGATTTAAATGTTCTCCCCTGTCTCCGGGAGAGCTGCTCGTGTTAAGCTTTCTTAGTTGGAAGAAAGGAAGTGGCAATAACGTTCAGGGATACAGATTCGATCACTTTGAAAATGATATAGTCAGAACTCCGAGCTCTCCCCCGAAAAAAATAGGCGGTGGCAGATATGTGATAGCGAGATAGAACACCGGCCACTGATCATTGTGAAGGGGAAATCACGATGAACAAGGCGGGCTTTTCAAATTTTCATATTGTCCAATGACATTTGGCTTCTTCGAAACGGCCAATCAGAGAAGAGAGTTTAGTTATAAATACCGCCCGAAACGTACAGCTCTTATTCATTTCAATCCATTCTTTCTGGTTCTACGTCTTTTTCACAGGGACTAAGTGTGTTAACATGGCCAGGACTAAGCAAACAGCTCGTAAGTCTACTGGTGGCAAAGCCCCCCGTAAGCAGCTGGCTACGAAAGCTGCCCGGAAGAGCGCGCCTGCGACTGGGGGAGTGAAAAAGCCCCATCGTTACCGACCCGGCACTGTGGCCCTGCGAGAAATCCGCCGCTATCAGAAATCTACTGAGCTGCTCATCCGCAAGTTGCCCTTCCAGCGCCTGGTCCGTGAAATCGCCCAGGACTTCAAAACTGATTTACGCTTCCAGAGCTCGGCTGTTATGGCCCTGCAGGAGGCCAGCGAAGCCTACTTGGTGGGGCTCTTTGAAGATACTAACCTGTGTGCTATTCACGCCAAGAGAGTCACCATCATGCCCAAGGACATCCAGTTAGCCCGGCGTATCCGTGGCGAGAGAGCTTAAAGGCTGCAGCTTCTAGTAACAAAAACTACTCCAAACGACCCAAAGGCTCTTTTAAGAGCCACTACATGCACACTGAAAGGAGCTGTAACCTGTTCATATCGTCCCTTTTTCTAAGTACGAAACTTGTTTTAGAGCTTTTTTTCAAGTTAAAATTGCGGACTAAATATACAGATTATATTAAAAGCAGGAGGTAGTTTACTAATCCTGTAACGTTCCTTTCTCCAGCTATCTCCACCTTTTCTGATTAATGTTAAATTTAAATTCATTACCATAACGCGCCTAAACAAAAGAAATTTGCTATTTAAGATAGTAGCGCCTTCTATTTATTTTGCTCATTTTAAAAATATTGCATAATCCCATTATAATGTAAATTTACAAGTCTGTAGATAAAAATTAACAAGGTTAAGTGAATGCCTCAAAGCAGTGCTTATTATAAACTGAAGATGATCAGCGCTGCTTCGTGCTGCTAAGTGCCCCTGATAAAACAGCATGTTTATTGTATTTTTATTTTTTTTTAAGGAAATAATGCATTGCTCCAAATGGGCACATTTGTGGAAGTTCAAAATGAAGTCAAGCTTGAAGCTTTATAAGAAATATTTCACAGCAAGTAAGTTCGCATCCTCCAAAAAGTCTTGTGCTCAAGCTATAAAAGCATAAAAGCTCCTTTTAGTGTAAGTGTAGCAGGTTTTGGAAGAGCCTTGGGGTAGTTTTTTAGTGTTTCTTTGTTTTTCAAATTGCTCAGAAGACGGTTGGAATGTTCTCAGCCCTCTCACCTCGGATACGCCGGTTACACGGAAGGAAGCAAATGTCATTGGACGATTTGAAAAATTGAAAAGCCCGCTCTGTGCTTAGAGAAATACATCCCTCCCTCATTGATTCCGCGAAGTGAAGCTCATGGGCCTAATACATGAACCTTGCGCTTCCCTGAGTGGCCCCTTTGTATTGTTTCCTCTCTGTGTGTTTTTTTTTAACAAACACTTTCACTCTACAGCATGCACACTCCCTTATTTCTTTTTCGTTTCTTCTGTTATACATATAGGTGGTCAGGGATTTAATTATGACTTTCAATCTGACCAAATCTGTGAACATGAACGTTATTCAGCTTCCTCTTCTTTGGTACTAGCAATCATCATGAATAGGGTGACCAGATGTCCTGGTTTTTAAAGGGACGGTCCCGTTTTTGGGGACTTTTTCTTATATAGGCGCCTATTACCTCCCTCCTCCGCACACACACTGTCCCATTTTTTCACAGTTGAGTATCTGGTCACCCTAATCATGAACCCCAATGCCCGGCGAATGGGAGGGTAATCAAGTACAGGATTCGAATGCATAGAAAAATCCCTTCCTTCTCATTTAATTTTGTGTTTTAATTTGCATATTTTAAGATAGTTATATCCTACAGTTCTTCCCCTTGGACTGAGTGGCACACATACCTCCTGGAAGATCTGTTTACAGTACTCTCTTTTCCTCCCTCCTTAAAATCTAAAATCTGAGAGACAGAGGGGAGGACTTTATAGTAATTAGTTGTGTGATAAATAAAGGGGGGGAGGTAGCTCCTTTTGATGGACACCCAGCCAGCCAGTTAGCTGTAAAATCCTTCTTGGTAGCAGTTCTTTACTTGCTTATCACAAGTTGCGATATTTAATTACTAAAATAACAAAAAATAGGGATTTTATTTCTATTGTGAATCTCTCCTTTCTCAAAAGAACCACACTGTATTTAATATGTAGCTTTAAGAAGCCAGAGAATCATTAAATAAATTCTCTTCTTCTACCCCCTCGCTTTCCTAGTATCCCTGGTCAGTTCTCAATCAGGCAGATCAGTGTATAAAAGAGCCATTCAAGCCAGCAGTTCACAGCCTTTTATTAATAAATATTAATTGTTATTATTTATTATTGAAGTCATCCTAGAAAATGTTTGCATGTGGTAAAGGAGGAAACGATCTTAGTAAACGTGGCCCTCAACACCACAGAAAAAGGCTCTGAAAGACCATCCAGGAATCAGTATACAGGCCACCCATTGCCTCGTTTGATGAGCCATGGAATATACTGCTTGTATCCTCTATGTGAGACCAGCTGAGTGCAGAAAATGTATCCAGAGAAGGTGATTCTCCTGAGCTAGTAAAAAGAAAGACCTGAACAGCTATGGACGTGATTTATATCCTGAAAGATCAGGGCTACACTCTTTACAGTTTTGGAGGTTAAAGTTCATCCAGGATTATCCATATCTATATATCTAAATATACAAAAGTTCTTTTAAGGGAGAACTCCAACTCCAGCCAATGAACTAAAACTTCAGTGGACACATTTCGTTATACTGTAGCTTTTATAACACTATAAAAGGCTTATGAGCTTCTCTTCTCAGCCACTAAAGTAAAAGGGTAAAATACATTGACCAACATAGATACTTAAAGGTAACAAAACTTATCTGCACATGGCAGATAAATAGGTTAGCATCCTGGAGATTTAGTAATTTAAAGGGTTTCATACTATAAACTAATAGAATAATTGTGTCATGTGATTCAGTAATCAGATTTAATCCTGGTTCCTGTGCATGTTTTGTTTTAAATTCCACCTTATTGAAAGTTCCTCAGAACAGATACCTCTCCCCCCTAATTTCACAAACATGTTCACAAATTAAATAAGTTTATGGCTAAGTGAAAAAAACTGCTTTGAAAATACAGAAGAAAATAGGGAAATTACTTGATGTAAGAAATGAGTTGATTTTATGCAGCTGCACTCTCTAAGGACTCTCTTCAGGGACAGAGGAGGATGAGGAGAAACAAGAGATTTGGGTTATAGTATCTAAGATTTTTAGTTAGTAAACCCAGTGAGATTGCAACAGTTTAAATTTGCTTTCTATAAGTGTGATTCTGATATGTTGAATTAATGTTAGGTGAATACAAGTTTAATCATACCTTCATTTCAGCAGTGTGGGGGTATTAATCATTTTATACAATAGATAAGAAACCTATATCTTCTAGAATATTATGACACTTCAAGTGCTTATTTACTTGTAGCAAAGAGAAATCAGGCCCTCTCTCTCTCTAGATATGGTGTGGGAATAAAGAAATTTACAGACAACTTGCCTGAGACTAGAGTTTTGTAAAGCTTCCTCACTGTGTATTATTAATTATGATAATGAATTATTTACTTGCAAGCCACTAGATGCAGTTTGAAAAACACAGTCGACAGTAGTAAGTGATGTTCTGCTCATTGAGTGAGAAGGTGGATGGCTCTTAGGGCTTGTCTACACAATCGGCCAGATCGATGGGCAGCGATCGATCCAGCAGGGGTCAATTTATCGTGTTTAGTATAGACGCGACAAATCAACCACCGATTGCTCTAGTGTCAACTCCAGTACTCCACCTCAATGAGAAACGCAAGGGGAATCGACAGGAGAGCGTCAACATACCGCAGTGAAGACACCACGGTAAGTAGATCTAAGTACATTGACTTCAGCTATGTTATTCACAAGTTGCGTAACTTAGATCAACCCCCTCTCCCCGTAGTGTAGACCAGCCCTTAAAAAAGCCTTTGGGTTACAGATTTAGACAGCCTACTCAGAAACTATTTACTTAGAACTGGTGTACTTAGTGACCGCAGGTCTACGCTACCGGGCTCAGTTGATGCAACACAAGCTATGTGAATAACATAGCTGGAGTTGACATAGCTTAGGTTGACCTTCTGCAGTGTCTACACCCCGCTGGGTCGACGGGAGAAACTCTCCTGTCAACTTACCTTATGCTTATGCTACGCAACGCCAGGTACGTGAATAACGTAGCTGGAGTCGACATACCTTTGGTCCAGTTACTGCGGGGTCTACACTGCAGGGGGTCGACGGGAGAAACTCTCCCATCGACTTACCTTACTCTTCTTGGAGGGGGGGAGGGGTTGGGGGGGTTAGAGTACAGGGGTTGACTGGAGAGCGATCTGCTGTTGATTTCACTAGACCCGCTAAATCGACCTGCGGTGGATGGATCTCCATGCATTGATCCCCCGGTAAGTGGAGGCAAGTGTGCCCTCAGAAACAGTATGTTTGGCCAGCTCGCCTCGCAGCAGCAGACTCTTACAGCAGTCTGGATCTCCCTGGAAGTGATGGTTGAGCGCTTGTTGTAATGCGCCAGACAAAACGCTTCTCCAGCGATACGCTCAAAGATGTCATTTACAAAAGAGTTCATTATACACATAGCATTGGAGGAGATGCTAGTGTGTGGGTGAACCTGCTTGAATACTTTATACACGTAAACGGAGGAACTTTCTTTCCTCGTCTTTTTCCACTTTTCGCCCTTCTTCTAAGTCAGGGGTCGGCAACCTTTCAGAACTGGTGTGTCGAGTCTTCATTTATTCACTCTAATTTAAGGTTTCACGTGTTAGTAATACATTAACGTTTTTAGAAGGTCGATTTAGTGGGTCTGGTAAGCTTCCTTAGAACTTTTCTTAGGAGCAGGAGCAGATTTCAATGGCTTAGGCATGTTGATAGCACCTAGTTTATTTTTACTTCTCAATGCCTTCTACCTTTTTGTGTGTACGTTTCTGTCTCCAGTCAGCTCAAAAACATGCATACAAACTCCGGAGGGTGCCTGTTTATAGACATCTTGTGGAAATGACTATTCTCTTTTCTAATTTCATATTGCATATGAGACACATGATCCTTCATTAATGTCAAATGGAACCTTATCATTGGTCAGAATTAGATTCGCATCACTATTGGCTATTCAAACAATAGCCTCCTTTCAGCCTATCACAAAGCGTTTAGCTCTGCAAACAGAAAGGATATAAGGGCGGGCTGGGAATGAAATCTTGTTATATTTTTTTTCTGGAGAAAGTATATTACTGTAGTTGATTTCTAGAAAGTGCTGATCATGTCTGGTCGAGGAAAGCAGGGAGGTAAAGTGAGGGCTAAGGCAAAATCTCGCTCTTCTAGGGCTGGGCTGCAGTTCCCGGTGGGCCGTGTGCATCGTCTGCTTCGCAAAGGTAATTACGCTGAGCGGGTGGGGGCCGGAGCCCCGGTCTATATGGCTGCGGTGCTGGAGTATCTGACCGCTGAAATTCTCGAGTTGGCTGGCAACGCTGCTCGGGATAACAAGAAAACGCGGATCATTCCTCGGCATCTGCAGCTCGCCATCCGTAACGATGAGGAGCTCA